CATTAAATTATGTACCTGACATACATGTAAATAATGTTAATACGTACAGGTATATATGTACCTGCCTTACAGGTAAGTGTTTTTTTCTTGAGTTTTCTTAAGCAGTTTTTTCTGGAGGTTTATATTTATATACATATGTACATGTCTTCCATGTAATAGTGTTTTTTTTTTTTTTCCAAAGAAATTTTGTATGGATTTTTATCTTAGTTGAGTTTAAAGATCCATACCAAGATATTATATGAGTTCAATTAGCTTGGCTAGAGGGTATAACTACCTAAACTAGAGGTAATTTATGGATTTAATTACCTAGACAATAGGTAATTTATGAGTTTAATTACCTGCATACTGCATACGAGGAGTTTAATTACCTGCATACTGCATACGAGGTGTATGCATAGGTATCTTACCTATTGTTAAGGTATGAAGTTTTTATGAACTCTTATTACAAATTTTGATGTCGGTATACCTTGGGAAAATTTTAGAATTCAATAAATAGCTTTGCAATTAAATTCAAATCAAATATGATAATTAATATCCTACAAATCAATAACTTACCAGTTTTAGGAATTCATAATTTACCTTATTTTATGTTTTAGGTGCAAAATTGGAACAAAAAATATAAAATATAAAAAAGTAAATATCAATAAATTGAAATAGACATGTAATCTTATGTGGCGCAAAAGTCAAAGGACCTGGATCAACAACAATTTCTGCGTGGATTGCACCCAAAATCTCTCCTCATAATTGGACTTATGCCAAATTTTCTATTCAAATAAATACCAGCATCTTGACTGAGCCTCTAGCGAAACAAATTGATATATTTACAAATTACAAAAGTTACAAGCATCTTTTACATCTTTTATTTTATTTTAAAGGAATTGTATTTAGATGGCACAACTACATGTTCTGATGATCTTTTAGATTACACAACCACAGGTTTTCTGACATCAAAACCTCTCTAGATGTGCATGAGTTGAATACTTCCCTGCCACACAACTTGACGAGCCAAACATGACCAGCAAACTGTGGAGGGGAGACAAGAAAAGATCAATCTTAGGCCTTTATTGCAAAATTAATTGTAACAAAACAAAAAATACAAACTGGAGGCCAGCCATGGATCGATCTTTCTACTCATATAAAGCACATCCATATCCAAACAACATATATATGTTAAAGGCAAATTAAATAAAGATAAGGAAAATACATACATCAAAATTACATGATCTCTCATCATCAGGTCGTAAAATCTGCACACAACACAATTATCAGACCACAGTCTCAACATGCAAGTGTCGAATAATCATGCTCATCACAAAATCTTACAATTGTACAATTGTTGCTGGGCAAGAGAAGTCTTTTGCTCCTTTCAAGTTACATTTTCTGGTAAATCATCGATTCGATGTAATGTCTGTGATTCATAATCTAAACCAAAACATGTTTGTGTTTGAGTCTCTTCCTATTTGAGAATAGAAGGATGCTTTGATTTCCCTTCATTTCTCTGCAGATCACAACCAAACAAGAGAACGGCAGCGAAATAATCAAGCCAAGCTTTCTGAAGGACGATAGGGTTTTGCATATGACGGCCACCTCTTGCATCACAACCAATTTATAGTGGGTGTCTAGGTCAGGCAGATTGCCCACGTCTGAACATTTACATATGGCAGCCTTTGATTGGGCACTTAATGTCTCAAACACACAATGATTGGTCCAGCCATGTCATACTGGCTGATTAGGAAAATGATGATATAGAAGTAAAAAATTATGCTTCTATATATGTGTGTGTGTTTAGGTAGCTAAGGAACACATTGCTAGTGCGAGGCAGCAGATTGGATGTATGAAGAAATTTATATTTTTAAAAAAAAGTATGGTTAAGAAAAGCGGTGTTTCAAATTGAATTAGTGCGTAAAAAAAGGATGGAAGTTGAAATATAGTCCTAAAATGGAGAAAAAAGACATCATTTCGATATTTAATGAAGTTTGTCACTACAATTACAACATAAAATACGGTTAGTAAATATCTCATTTTACATACACGTATGGACAAAATGCATGCATGCATCACTTTTATAGAACACACTATACGTACTTTTTCATTACCCCAAATTTAAGGTCGACAACAAGTTATTGAAAAACCAAATATACTTCGTGTTTCACCATCGAATAATAGATACGGTTTGGTCATATGATACCGAACCATTCCCATTTTACAGTGGAGTTCCACTGTATCCTAAGTTAACGACCGATCACATACAACCAAAATAGGTTCAATGTTTCAGTGGAGGGTGTAGTGAGCAAATTTAATTTCTATTTTAAATATTTTTGTCCTTAACGGTAATTATATACAAAGGTAAAATAGGTTATTTATGTACAATTAGTGTGGGTTCAAAAGAGCAGATTGTAGAGTGCAAATAAAATCTTTGCCTAGATTTTTCAAAATTGTGCACGTGCCAAAATTGTAAATGTGTGATATCATGTGTTTTTGTTTAATCATATTTTTAATTCAGCAATTTGCTTAATAAATCAGATCATTGAAAACTAGAAAATAAAACTAAAGTTGAAAAACAAAAACAAAATAATTCATTATGCTAAAACGATGGGTATAACATTTAAAACTATTTTCTTTATATTTTATGTGAACAAAATTTAATTTGTCATGTTGTTTGTGGATTCTAATGTATTGAAACTCATAAATTCAATTAACGTTTTTTGAGTGGTTAGTCAAACTACTAGTTTTTTCTTTGTTCCTCATTCTCTTCCTTGATAGCTAGCCGAGATCCGCAAGTTTACCTAACTTTTAGATACCAATTTGCATACTTGAATTGAAAACACTTATAAATTGGCGAGATAAATAAAAGACATGAATCATTTTAGTATTTAACCCTTTGTTTTTTTTTTTTCTTCTAATGTGTGTATAAATTGAAACAGAAAATTTCATTTAGCATTTTGGAGTGGACAGACTCACACTACAAGTTTCCAGTCTTCTCACTTTTTGTTCCCTCAGGGCTTTTCCTCCTACCTCAGGCCTTGTCAAACCAACATCGTGATTAGTTCTTATACTTATTTCGAAAGAATATGTTTATAGATTACAATATAGTTACAAGCATCTCTGGTAAATCATCGATTCAACAACTTTGAATTTCTTGGGCTCGCTTAAAATCTGCTAAGTCAAGAGTTGAAAACGTACAACCACACAAACACCTACCTAGATGATGCAAGTGCCGCCTTCTGCACACAAAAAATCCACATAATTAGACGAGTCTGAACATGAGATCATCACATAGGCATGTAATTAAGACAAATAATTAACATATTATAATTACAGAATCGTTCTAGAACCTGAACCAAAACATGTGTGTGTTTGAGCCTCTTCCTATTTGAAAACCGAAAGATGGTATGATTTTCCTTCATTTCTCTGGAGAAGAAGACCAAACACGAAAACACTAACAAAAATAGTTAATAATAATGGTAGTTCCAATTAACTTGTTATAAAAAGAAAAACTATGGGAGTTTAAAAAGGGGAAACCCAAAAGAAAAAAGAGAAAAATAATAATACCTATTGTTTTGATAGTTAATAAAGTCGGTCTTGGTCACAATAATTCCAATAAACAAAAATATTATTGCAACTACATATCATGTACACGTATCATATAAGTGTAGAGAAAATATAATACCATGCAAGCATCACTTTTAGAGAACACCCTGTACGTGCTATTACTTCGGCACGCTCTTGGGCAGGAATATATGTTCATCTCCTAGACTAAAATTTGCACTCCGCAATTTTGCTTAACTTTTAGATGCAATATTTTTTTTTCTCTTCCTTTTATTTTAAAGATAAATATGACAATACTTTAATTATTAACTTATCTTAGTTGCCTTTTTATGTGTATAATTTTTTTTTATACATTCAAGGGAATCGAAACCGAAGAAACTCAAAATTATTTTGAACGAATAGTAACAAGAAGTTTTTCCTCTGGTCCTCACTCATTTCCTATCTCTTTTTTTTCGGTCTCAGCTCTTCCTCCTCCTCCGGGCCATATCAAACCAACATCATGATATATGGTGGATTAATGATCTTACACTTAATTTTGAAAAAAATATTAATTTCAGTATACATTCAGGGCATGTTTACGTATCAGTAATGGGTATGGGAGGAAAGGGAATGATTTCCATTCCTGACTTCCTCTGCGTTTACTTGCAATTAGGAATGAAAAAATAAGTGGGCCTCACTTCAAAATCCGTAATCACATCCCCTCAAAACTAGGTATCAGATCAACTTGGGGGGAGTAGTTGATACGATTCCCATTCCTATTTTCTCTTATTAACTTCCAAAAATACCCTTACCACTTCA